CACGACGCTCTTCCGATCTCCCCAAAACCCCAAAACCCCGATTGATCTATAGATCTTCTCAATAGATAAAACATTGAATTTTGTAAACTAATAAGATATAAATAAGTAATGGTTGAAGCTAATCAAATCCCAACTAAACAATAAGGTCTTAGAGTTTACTCAGGTGGTACATTCAAAGTTGATGAGATCGATGTACCCAGACCAGGTCCAGGACAATTACTAGTCAAAATTGAATGCGCCCCAATTAACCCAAGTGATATCTTTTTCATGAAAGGAATTGTGGAGGAACATTCTAAGGGAAGTGGAAGGAACATGATTTTCCCAATAGTTCCAGGCTGGGAAGGCTCAGGCACAGTCATCGCATCAGGTGGTGGCTTAATGGCCTGGAGACTAGTTGGAAAGAGAGTAGCAGTCAGCAAAATGGAAGAGCCAGACAGAGGTTCCACAGTAGGAGGCTGCTTCCAACAATACATGATAACTAATGCTCTATAATGCTTGCCATTGCCAGATGACGTATCCTTCGAAGTAGGAGCTATGCATTTCGTGAATCCTCTGACTGCTATTGGCCTTCTTGATAGAGCCAAGTAATACAAGGCCTAGGCTGCTATTCAAACTGGAGCAGCATCTCAACTAGGGAGAATGATCATTAGACTCGCTCAAGAAGAGAAAATACCTTTAATTAACATTGTCAGAAGACCAGAATAAGTTTAATTACTTCAAGATCAGGGAGCTGAAAATATTCTTAACTCGAGCGATCCTGACTTCTTAGATAGACTTGGGGAATTAGCAAAGAAACTTAAGGCGACAGTCTGCTTTGAGGCTGTTGCTGGCGACTTAACTGGTGAAATAATGTCAAAGATGCCTTTCAAATCAACTTGCATAGTTTACGGGTGTTTAAGTGAGCAACCAGTAGGCGGCATTGAATCATTGGTATTGATTGGAAGAAACTAGAAACTGGAGGGATTCCTTTTGAATAATTGGACTAAGGAGAAGTCTCTCTGGTCTCTTGGCAGTATTATTAGTAAATGTCAAAGACTCATGAGAAATAAAACTCTGTAGTCAGAAGTTGCAAGGAGAATATCCATGTATGAAGTTGAACAAGCTATTCCAGAATATCAAAAGAATATGACCTAGGGCAAGTATATCGTCTATCCTCATGAGAAGTAGCCAACTCAAGTATAATCACCTCCATCTTTAAATGAAAACGAGGAGTCTAAGCATGAATCAGAATCAAATCAATGAAAGGCATTAACTTCAATCCTAATTTATTTTGCGAATTTTTAATCGATATACATCAATCATTTTTTAACTTTGGGGTTTTGGGGTTTTGGGGTTTTGGGG